AGCAGAGCAGGAGACTGTTTTGGGCTTTGGACCCCCAGTTGCGAGACAGAGTCACTATACGAGCCATTGCTGACGTTGCTCTCTGAGCTAAATTAGCACTCGACCTGATGTTTGGTACACATATACTCCTGCTCGCCATCTTTTCTTGCAACGCCCTCAGCTCCAAGGTTAAAGACACGCAGAGACTATCACCCGACCGAGCTGACAACGTCTCTCTCTCTCACTCTTCCTGAGCAGCTCAGCTGCCTCACCTCCATCGGCTAAAACCTTAGCCTCTCCGAAATAGCTTGTGAAACAAGGAACCTGTTTCTTTGTCGTCTGTCAACCACTATGGACACCATGCACCACTTCTTCTCCTGTTAGCTCCTCTGGCCTCTGAATATTTAGTTCTCCTGATTCCACTTACGGATTGGTCTCTCTACTAACAGGAGGATCTTTGTAAACACATCTGACCTTGACTCATGATTAGTAAGACCTGATCAATTGCAGTTTTTTTTTGCTCTATACTATATCTCAGAATATGTATCATCATTGAATCTACAAGGTTATCTGTTGGGATCACTCTAGATATTGTACAACTTACAGTTTGTAGTCCGTGTTGTTTCTAGAAAGTGGATCAAGATGTTGGAAAAATAAAATAGCCTGAAAAGATGATCAGTTATCTTGTACATTATGATTTTGTACGAGTGTTGTGTAAGAAAACTTTGTTTTTTATTTGAAATTTGGTTTAAGGGAGTTCTTCTATAAGCAAAAAAAAAAAAAAAAAAACTGTTTATACTCTCGTCTTTATCATGTTTCTGTGCTTGCAAATGCAACAGACCACAATAAGATAGAAGACACATAATAAAACAACACTATGTAACAATATAACTCTAAACTCTCTTCACCAGATATTTTTTTTTAAAAAAAACAGTCACTAACAGCATCCTACTTGTATACTCTCAGCTTCCAGCAGTGAGTGAGTTCCAATTTCTGCGGATCATCAACTTTCAGACACCAAACTCAAAACTTCCCTGCCTTCTTGTCTTTATGTCCCCTATATCACCGCATTAACCATGTTGGTAACTGATCACCTTCATTCCTCCTCATCTCTATGATCTTCCTATGTGAGTTTGAATGCACTGATGGGATGAAGGTTGGGCTTGAAGCTGGTCTGTACTCTGGAACTAGACGGCCAGATCTGTACCTGACACCACACGCGTTGCAGAGAGTCTTTGGTCCATTGGGTCCTTCCCTCCACTGAGGAGTCTTGGTTGTCTCACAGTGAGTGCATTTCCAGACTATCCCATGATCAGAGTTTAATCCCTCTGAACTGGATGAGACTGATGAACTCTTGCGTTTCTTCTTGCCATAGGAATAGTAAGTCTCCGATTCTGATTCCACTGGGGGGGTTAACTTCTCGGGTTCTTCAAACGGGTAAAGGTATCTAATTAGTCTCAGTGTTGTGGGGCGTTTGCGCTTGCTTCTCAAGCCTTTCACAGGGAAAGTAAATCTCTGTGGGGAGAAAGAACCGTCACTGCTCTCAAGAACTGAAACTGGGCTTGAAGACTGAAACTGCTTAGATACTTTGATATCGGTATGTGACGAAGATTGGTGTATAGTGCCATTTATGCCACACAAGGCTGCAGCACCCGATTGTTTCTGCCCATACCAAAAAATATTAGACCATTATTATATAACAAAGATTTGCATATTATATAGTGCAAAGACGAGATTCGATTGTGTGTATAAATCCAATATTTTATATACGTGACTCACTTTTCTAGGCTAAGGCGGTAGAAAAAAAAGTATCACCGAAAAAAAGCAATACGTTACACATAATATCAGCTTGAATGAAACGCAACATGGTGGATTGTGACTAATGTATCACCTCACGTAATGCATAAGTAACGTAAAAAAAAGAAAAGAGTGATTTTATTGGGAGACTCACCAAAACAGATACGGTCTTGTGAATCCCGGCCTTGCTGCTAATGTCACAAGAGGTGAACTCAGAGGGAAAACTAGTAAACATATCCATGGGAGGCTCAAGTTCTTGAAATTTGGCATCCCAATCTCCTCCTCCCTCACCGTTGGTGATGGTATCGATGTCTTCTTGTGGAAAATCGATATGGTTGATGAAATCATCAAAGAAATCGTCTGAGAGACCTTTGAACTCCTCCTCAGGTAACCAGTTCATAACTACCTACAAATCGTACCAAGAATGTAAACAGGTATATGTCATTTGATATGATATTATATGCCTAAAGAACAATTAAATACACAATCTATAACAATTAATTGATACATTTAAAGGTAAGTTATCACTGATTTATTTTCTTAAAAATCACATAAAACAACAGGAAATACAAACAGAAAGAGAAATGTCTTCACGTGAAGAACCCGAAAAGAGAGAAAAGAGAGAGACGTACGAACCTTTTTCAATATAGTATGGATGTACGATTATGTATCGAGTTTTACCAAAATTAGAAGCGATTTGCAGGTTAACAATTTTTGGGAGTGAGAAAATAAAAAGCCAAAAGTTGAGAAACAGAGTGAGGAGGGAGAAGAAGGTTGATATGGGAGTTTTTTTCTTAAGATTATTATAAAAGAAAAAAACGTAAAAATATGGAAACTGCTTTTCATCTCGACATTTCTTAACTTTAAAGAAAATCCGTAATTGATTTATTGTTTTCTGGGAGTCAAAGAAAATACACGTCTTTACTTACACACACACTTTTGGTGAGTAACTCAATGAATATTGTTTTTCTTTTCTTTTCTTTACCCATTTTTTAAGAAATATTACATTAACTGACGCGTACTTAACTGAATATATTAAATTCCACACGTTGCATTTAACACCAAGTTTTGGCAAAAATATAACCTCTTCTGCAGTAAATGAATATCTTTTCATTCATATTGTACGGACATTTGAATGAATATATAAGGTAATTAAGTGAAAAATAGCAGTCAAAGATTGATCTGAATGGATGGGGAATATTTATTGGTGTCAAAAGAAATACCAGATTTAACGGGTAAAATAAATAAGTTTTGACAAAAAAAAAGAAGATGGTAATAGTCAAATGAAGATATAAATGATTGCGTAGAATAAATAGATTAGAAAGAAATACAAAAATGTCATAGAGGAGCACATGCAAAACCAGATGACAAAAACCTTGAACAAGGATCTGATGATGATTCGTTCGTAGATCAGATCTATTATTGTTTTGTGTATGGTTAGTGGTTAAGCAAACTAGCAAGTCATAGGAGGTTTTAATAATTACATCATTAAAACTTTTAGTATATAATATAGTCAAAGTGAAATAGAGAGATCACCGACGATTACGAGACGAAAACCGAAAATTTTAACAATTATTATGGCTTTCCTCATGGGAAAGTGGGTCCCTTGCCTAACTCTTTGCTTCCCATCTTCCACATGATGTGTTCTTCCCATCAATTATTCTTTTAAATCATATCATTCTAATAAGTATGTATCATATGGTCTTGACATTGACGTCCAAAAACAATTAGAATAAGTATCATGATATTTATTTTTCTTAACATCGATTTTTTATTTTCATTTTTATCTTTTGGATCTTAAGTTTCCGCATGTTGTGTCGCTCTGCATCGTGGAAACTGGATAAAAACAAAATCATGTGGATGTGTATATTTTCTGCATTTGTTTGTACAAACTGTATTCATTTTTCTATTTTGTATATTTCAATGATGGCAATAAAATTATGGTAGACAGTACAGTCAATTGCGTGAAAAAGCGTACATTCAAATTCAAACTAGCTTGTACTTTCCAAAATAAGAAATCTAATGAACTCTATATTGAAATTGGCAAAGCTACAATCTTTTTGTATTAGGTGCACCATTGTATAAAACTAAAAATACAAGCACAAGATGACTCGAACTTGAAACATTTATGGGTGCACAAGAGATATTAATGGTATGTTGTTTCCCTTTTTGACGATGTTAATTAGTTGCAATGAGTCTGATTCGCAGACAATCTTCTTGCTTTTCATTTTTTTCATTTTAACCTGTAAGGGCAACACCCAAAACTTTTTTCTTTTTTCACCAAAAGAAAACAATAGAATATTACAAACGGACCCAGAAGCTTCTCCTAATCGCTGAATCTGGCCCAAAAAGAAAGTGAGAATGAGATCAAATCTTAACCTTAGAGGTTATTCTCCTTCTAGCGTTTACAAATAGAAACAAGAGGAAGAGCAGTAAAAGCATCAATGCCACTGATACCAACTTCCACATCTTCTCAGCTTCCATTTCTCCAAATACATTCTGCAGATCAACAATGCTTCTCTTAGACTGCACATTCAACAACAACAACACTGTGAATGAGAAACTCTGAGCTCCTATTTGGATCAAACAAAAAGGGACTTACTGTTGAAACCATCTTCTTTGACACTAGTTCATGTTCTTTAACAAAGATTTCTTTAGCATACTTGTAAAGCTCCACATCTAGATTGTTAAGCGATTTGATCTGCTCAATGACCTCATTAGGAACTCTTGTACGCGTCTGTAAATTGCATTATCAAAAAGATTAGATTACTCAAGCCTTATCTCATTTAGTTTTTAAATCATGCACATAATATTTTTTTACCCCTCTGGTAAAATTTGCTGGCGATATTCTCTTCAAAGAGTTGACCCGTCTGGTTCCTTGGGACTTTCGTAGATGAGTAATGCATCCCTCATAGACTTCCATTAAGGTTTTTACCGTCATCTGAATTGTGTATTCAACAGATATAAAAATCACACCACTTCACACGTTGATCGTAAATGCTAATAGAAATGTTACTTACATTTCCACTCTTAGCTTCTATCTTATTCGATGCAACTTCAGATGTACTATTCTGCAAAGTTATAAGTCATTTTCAGCAACAAAATTCACAGTTTTACAGCCGAGTAATACATTGAGGAGCAGGAGTTCACCTGGATTTCACTCTTATCTGATCCAGATTCTGAAACTTTAACACTTGCTTCTGAAAGTATCAACAAAATAAGGCTGAGAACTATTATTATGATTGCAAGTAAAAGTTTGCATCCAAAGGAAAACTCATTATCATCATCAATTCATTATCTTGACTCTTAAGATTGCTAAGATGAGAAAACTTACACCAACCTGATTTAGTAGTTTTTGAAGTTATATTTGATGTAACCACTTGAGAAAGCACCTGAGAACCCACTACATTGGCAAAAAGTGATGCAGATTCTCTGTGCTCTTCTGTCAATCCAACATACATCATGCTGTCTAACCTTCTCTGCAAGATAAAAAAAAAAAGCTTATAGAATCTGCTACAAAGATACAGTTCATTATGATGAAGAAGAACAAGTGTAGCTAACTAACCTTGGCGACTTGGAGAACAGGCTCACCGAGGTTTTTGTATTTCTGCACACAATGCCGAACCTCGTGTGCTTCTGATAAACGAGAATTGTTTGTCAATCCTGCAATCTGTGAAATGATATGAAAATGCTCTGGAGATTCTCTAAATCAGTTACTTACAAAATCAAAAACAAAGAAACATTAAAAAGTACCTGAAATGTTGCTCCATTGTGGATAATGTCATGAGCAGTAGGGGTGTCGAGATATGTGTGCAGTGGCATAAGCATCTCTTCCATGTCATAGGGGTTGTCGTCCTCAATAATAACCACTCCTTTGAGTTTTCGTGCATCTCTCTAATAAAGGCCAAGCATGAGCAACAAGTTTCATTGGATACTTTTATGTGTTGTTCTTATCATATAAGAGCTTAAATGCCGCCTGTAGGCACTAGGCATGGTCGTTTTTAACCTAAACCGAAATCTGAACCTTAACCCAAACTGACAAAAAAATCCTGAAATCTGATCCAAACCGTTATAAAAAATATCCAAAAAGGCTTCAATAGCTAGGTGCTTTTCGAGTTCAGATACAACCTGAACCAAACTAACCAAATTAGGATCCAAAAAGGCTTCAATAACTAGTTTTTAATTTGTAATATGGTCGGCTGTAATATCTACTATGTTTCTCATAATTTGTAATAGCAAAAGTACCCAGACAAAAAAAACTAGTTTTTAATTAGATTTCTGAATAACTGACATATTTTAAGTATTTTGGTCATTTTTTTAGTTCTTTTTAAGATTTTTTCGCGATTTTTAAACAATGTTATAACTCTATCCAAACCAGACCCAACTCAAAAATTAGTAAAACCCGAATGAAACTTATGAGCATAGTACCAAAAATCTAAATCGGTAGAGCAAACGCCCATGCCTAGCCGTCTATGCATGCAACAAAAAGAAGATGAATGAGATAAGTTGACATACCCGAGCAAAGAGGTCTTCTCTCATCCATGGAACAAGGTATTTCCAAGGCCATATGTCAAGCGTGCTTATTACATTCTTCTTGCGAATCCGACCAGACATCATTGTCGCAGAAGTTAGATTGGGATGCACCAAGAACCTAGCAGCTACCTCTACTGAAAACTCATAAGTGCTCAACACACGCGCAACAGGGTCACGGACTATTGTCATCACCGAAGTTCTCTCCCTCGGAAGCATAGACATTAAACTATAATCGTCATGTGTGGCCAACAACTTGCACTTTTGCTTCCTATAAATTTTACAAATTTTCAGAAACTGATGTACCAAAAGAAGAAGAATAACTATCTATTGATCTTATGTATGTTCTAAGTTATCTAAAAGTCAACTTAGTAATCCATAGAGTAATGTAACAAACTTCATTCTCCACAAGCTACTGAATCTTTGGCATCAAGCAATAGGTTAAAAGTCAAGGGTAGAGAAGATAAGGAAGATGACCTTGGATCGAAATGGAGCTTGTCGTAAGATCGAGGACACTCCTCAGCGTTATCATACAACTTCCTCAAGAAACTACCAAAAAACAAAGCATTAATCAAATACAAATCTTTCTCGATTAACTTTAAAGAATAAAAAAAAGAGAGAGAGAGAGATAATCACCAGTGGAAATAAGTCCTGCCTCCAGTTCGAGGAACGTGGAGAAAGAAGAGCAGATCCTGAAGCGAGCGTTTGTCTTTGTTAGGATGTTCTTCACGAGGAGAGGAAGAAGTATCCGCCCACTCTTTCACAACTCTCTCGCAATGACCAAACTCAAGCTCCGCAAAGGAGACAATAACTGATATAATCAAGACAAATGAGGAACAAAGTGTTTGTGAAGAAGTAGGAATCAAATCAAGTTACAAACCTGAGCATAGAAGTGTTAACCACACTAGAGCCAGCTTCGAGATAGGATGATGATTCATTTGCATTGTACCTCGACTCCAAACCCTACTCATGATTAATCAAAATATCGATTAAAAAAAAAATCAAAGCTTTATACGAAACGAATCAAAATATAGATAAATATCAAAGCTTTATTGAAAAAAAGATTATAGAAAGAGACATTCAAGACAAAACCCAGCAACAGAGAGTTGTGTAATAAAAACGAAACAGAGCTGAATGTTCGAGAAGGAGACAGAGAGAGGCAAAAGGGGGACCCAGAGAATCGTAAGGAATTGAATAAGAAAGGAACAGAGAGGCCTACGTGTATGGGGAATCGAGATCTCGTGCTCCCTTCCCTTCCCTTACTCCTCGATCGGTATCACCCACTAGGCCCTACGAGAAGCTCGAAACAAGGGGTTGTATTACATCGATGGAAGGAAGAGACGAGGAGATTTGTGTGCGCTCCCCAGAGAACAGGGTCACGAGATTTTCTCTTTGTTTCTCGCCACCCAGAAAATTATTTAAAAAAATAAGGAAAAAAGTTTAAAGCTTTACGGAAACACGCACTGAAGGAGAAGAGAAGCACTAGTGTGAAAATCATTCATTCATTTAATTAATTAGTTATCCTCTCATTCATTATTTGGACATGGGCGTTAAAATAAAAAAGATTACGAATCAATTAAGTTGACCTATGCTTACGAGGCTTTTTGTTAAAAAATAGTGGAATCATAAATTACAATTTATTAAAATATTGACTTTGAACAATCTTGTCAATGCATTTGAATCTGAAATAGTCTTTTTCAATGCGTCTCAAGAAGAAGACCATAAAAATGGTGTGGGTTCATGTATGTCTCAGACCTTTAACGTAACGGTGATGTTTCTTTTCAACTCTTGCAATTGTTTTTAGTCGTCATCTGATGATATTTTGTTCTGATCTCATACTATAAGAATGTACAGATTATTTGTGAAGTGACTAAAAAAATGAAAAATCAGATTTGTAGCAAAAAGATAAGAGAGAGACCGGATGAAAAAAAGAAAGAGAGGGTGGAATTTTAGTTAATAGAATATAACTTTTTATTTATTATGGTCACTAGTTCAAAATTTCGGTATTATATTCTTAAGATTTGGATTTTACTAATTATTGGAACGGATTCGGTCAATTCTTTCTGAAATTCGTTTAGATTGGATTGTATCCAAAATCTGAAATCATCATAAAATTATTTTTGAAACCTTAAAATTGACTAAAAAATCAAAATATTTAAATTATTTGTATATAATTTAAAATTAGTTAAACTATTTAAACTAACTAAATGATATTCAACATAAAAAATAAAGCAAACTACAAAAATCTTTTGAATACAATAAATATCTAAATTATTTAATATCAAATATGTATTGTTCATAATCATTAATTATCATATATATGTTAATCATATTAGGTTATTCCGTAGTTTTTATTTATGAAAATAAAAGAATATTTTTAAACACTAATGATTAATTTGAAAGTTAATTTAATAAAAATATAATATTTAATTATATTGACCTACTTATTTTTTTAAAAAAAATTGCAAATTATCCTGATAATAACACGTGACTACGAAAACATGTTATTAAAGCATCCCCATTAGGGAATTATTCCTCGAGTTCACACAATTCCCCAAAATTTTTTTATAATATTCTGATTTTTGTGAACTCCTAACGCGTGAGGTCTTGACAGTGAACTCGTTTCATAAATGTTCTGCGGACTGCACGATACGTGGCGGTACGCAATTGATTCGATTATTAATTCTTTTCAAAAAAATCAAACAGAAAAAAAATAATCAATTAAAAAATATCTTTGGGAATCGAACCTCTCAATTCGCTGATGGAGATGATCTAGGTTTGATGTAAATGGGATTTGGCCTAATTCTCCAAGAACCTATGACATATGTTTTCATATGTTAATGTTAGTAATTATTGTCATGAACTTATTCCCCGAGTTCACACAATTCCTAAAATAAAATTATTATAATATTCTGATTTTTGTGGACCTCTGACGTGTGAGGTCTAGGCAATAAAATCATTTTATTATTGTTTTGCGGATTCCACGACACGTGATGGTTCACGATTAATTCGATTATTAATTTTTAAAAAAAATCAAACAGAAAAAAAAATCGAAAAATAACTTTGGAAATTGAGCGTCCCAATTCGCTGATGGAGATGCTCTAATGCTCCAGGTTTAATGTATAGAGGATTTGCCTAATTCTCCAAAAACGTATGACATATGTTTTCATATGTTCATGTTAGTAATTATTGTCATTGAACTTGATATGCCCCTAAATAATATATGATACTTTCATTTCATATGAGAACAGGTATTATTCGCGAGTCTAACAGCTTAGTTTTACTCAGACGTCCTTGCTGGTAACGAAATTGGTGAATTTTTGCATCTTACTGATATTTTTCTTTTGATTTATACATGTTACTATGTTAGTCGATCTTATTATACTTCTATTACACCAAACTCCAAAATATTACGTAACATACGTCTATGATTATACAAAGTCTAGCAAAATATTTGTTTGCAGTTACATAAAAAGATTGTGATGGAAACTATGTGGCGATCGAGCTCGTGAAAAGAAAATTTATAGCGGGTTTGTTGTCTGGTTGTTATGTATGTATGACTATGCTTTTACTGTTTCTGTTATATTATACCAATACGGACGATAAAGATAGATGTGAAGAATTTAGAAAACTTCATTTGAAGAAGCAACAGCATATGTGGAACCCATATTCCTTTCTCTAATGGAGACAGTGGATTCGTTGCAGTGTCTCCACTCTGTGACCACTACAATGACCAGATGAGGATTGATTCTCTTCCTACTCGTTCCGATGACGAAATAATTGAGTCTCTGTACCAAAAACCTCTTTAATATTATTGCTCTATGTCTTCAAGTAGGGGAGTCTGGTAATGGTAACCAGACAAGTATTTCACCTCTCTGCATTGAAGTGCTAGACTCCAAGATCTTCATCCCATATAAATACATAGTGATAAGCTGAGACAACATAAGGATGCAAAAATCTGTCTGCATACCACCTGGAAAAAGCAGATAAATAAAAACAACAAGAGGTTTACACCAGACAAATATTGTTTGTTAAAGAATGGAGTATATCTGCTGACTTCCATCAGATTTTCTTACCATTTGGTTTGCTTTATTTGCGCTGATATGGATTGCGTTTTTGGACCACTCAAACTGATCCTATCTTGATTTTTTTTTTTCAGCAACAACAAATCTTTAACCAATTAACAACAGTATATTACGAGACTACTCCCTCAGTTTCACAAAATGTCAATGATAATTTTTTCACAGATTAAAAAATTACCTATTTAATTGATAATATTTTTCAATGCATTTTATAATCTCTATAATATTATTTGAGAAGTCAGTTTCCTATGTGTCGCTCTCATGTTCATTCTCACGATGGTTTGATTACATTGATACCCTTAATTAAAAATAGTTGAAAATAGTATTATTAATTCTTTTATTTTTATTTTTTCCTTTTCAAAAATTTCCAAAAAGATCTCTATAATATTATTGGAGAAGTCAGTTTCCTACATGTCGCGCTCACGTTAACTCTCACACGAGGGTTGATTACATAAATACCCTTAATAAATTATTAGATTTTAAGATTATTATTAATTTTTTCATTTATTTTCCTTTTTACATTTTTCCAAATAACATATATAATAAAAAGGAAATATTTCTAAATTAAAAAAAAAAAATAAAAAACGAAAATATATGTATATAGTATGATTTTATTTAAAAGGAAAGTTTACAAAATAGTAATACCCTCATTAATATATATTTTAAATAACATAAAATATATTTTCAAATATATATGTTCATGAACATTCAAAAATTTATCAGTTACACTTTATTTTTTAATATCTTTAGAAATCAACATATAATTTGTTAAATATTATGAAAATACATGTATATTTAAGAGATAAATAAAACTAATTTATTTTGACTTAACTAAATTAAAGAGTAAATAAATATTATGAAAATACATGTATACTTAAGCGTTAAATATAACTAATTTGAATTGACTTAACTAAAATAANACAATTGATCCAAAAAATAATTAAACCGACAATAATATACCCAAAGTCATATGTATAATTAGAATAATATAGTATTTATTAATATAAATTATTTCTATAAATTGATTCAAAATTAAAACTAAATATCAATCAATTACTATAAAATTTTATTTTTATGAATATTCATATCCGTGCATGAGCACGGGAAAATCACCTAGTATGTAATAAAAAGACATTTTTTTATAAAGTCATAAAAACAAATTTAAAACGAAAATATATGTATATATAATATGATTTCATAAAAAAGGAAAGTTGACAAAAATAGTAATAATGCATTTAAAAATATGTTTAAATAACATAAAAAATATGTATATATAATATAATTTCATAAAAAAGGAAAGTTCACAAAATAGTAATAATACATTTAAAAATATTTTTAAATAACATAAAATATACTTTTAGAGTAATAAAATAGTTTATAATTATTATTATTGAATTTTTATTTATTTTTCATATATTTAGTTGACTATAATATCTTTCAATTACAGAAAATTATCTAGAACTTATATTTTACTTATATAATATTATTTTCAAATACAATCACAATTTTGTGTAGTGCTTATTTTTAAGAGATATTAAAAAATAAAAATAAATTTAACAATAAACATCGTTTGATCAAAATAATTGTTTTAATGAGCTAGATATATGATATTTTATCATTATTAAAATTATTTATTTTCTTAATATTAATTGTTTTAAATTTTATTTTTTATGTGTGTGAAACTAAATATAACCATAATCAAAATATCAAATCAAATCTGAATTCTCAATTTAAGATTATTTAAAATAAATTTCAGTTTACATTCAATAAATCTAAAGCATAAAGTTATTTAGAATTTATAAATGCATGTAACCTTTTATTGATCACTAGTGGTTGGCCCGCCCTGCGGGCGGGTGAGTTTACACTAAAAATATTAAATTGAATGATAAATATAACATTTTTACTTTAAAATAAATTTGTAACTTTATTAAATTTTGTTAGTTTTAGTTGAAGGAAGCCACTAACATTTTTCTGTTAGAGAACACAAATATGAAATTTAAAAGTTAAGAAAATGTAATCATTTATATTTTTTTTTCTTTTAATTTCTGTTTCATTTTGATATAGTTAAAGAAAATATACAATAAGAATTAACTAATATTTTTTAACTTCTAAAAGTATAATCTTAATCCTATTACCAAAATTAAGTTTCTCACGATATAACTTAATCCACCTCCAAGCTAAATCAATTGAAAATACAATGTAGTGTGATAAAATTTAAAATTATATTTTATAGGAATATATAAATATTTTAAATAATTTCAAAAACAATAATTATATACTATTTAACAAAAATGATGTTTTAAAATGTATGTTTGTTTCAGTTTAGTTTAGATTTTAAGTTTATAATGATTTTTCTTTAATTTTTAGTCTTTTACTAATTATGTTTTGTAAATTATTTCAGCATTTGTTGAACTTTGTTTTATAACAAAAGTATTTGTTGGAAATTTTCCTCATGCTATTTGCAAATACTTTTAAAAATTAATAGTGTTATAAATTAATAAAGTATTACATTGGTTCATGTAGTTTAGCGAAAATAGTTTAAAAATGTAGTATACCCATTAATAATCTAAAAATTAAGATGAATCAAACGTATAGAGATGTTATCTAGAAAAAAAATTATCTTCAAAGACTAAAACTAAAAGAAGTAACTCAGTTTCTTTAGTCTTTTAGTATTGTCTGTATTAAACAAATGTTTATAATTCCTGTCTAATCAAATATTGAGTCTCAGTTTCCACATAGAACAACCATAACATATACAATTATATAATTAAAAGGAACAAAACAATCGAGAAATATGTTAAGTTTATATTCCGACCCAACAATTATGTGCCTTCTCCTCTTCAAGTTTTTAAGCATGTTGCTGATTTGAGATTTTGGCAGTGGAATCGATGAGTAATATGCGTCAAGCAAATATTATCCTTGAGTCTTCTTCTATTGAAGCTAGACAAACTTTGTTGCATCCGGAGTGTTTCACAGAACTACCGAATCTATTTTTCGGTATCACCAATCTCGTGCAATGGCTGAGTTCTTGGTCCAATAATTATGTCAGAGTTTTCTCGAATACTTTAGCTTCTTCTGTGGCATAAGGTGTCATCCTCTACCACCACACAAAATCCTACATCTTTTTTGGTGATCCGGTCTGGTTGCAAAGTCTCATCTGCAATGAAGCCAGAAACCAAGATTGGCAAGTTTGCATCATATGTTTATACTTGCATTTAGTTTAATTTTGACATTTTGAACTATTAGATTTTCTATATAGATTGTACTTTTAAATCTTGATTTTTAATTATTTTAAATGTTGAACAACAGTCTCCAGAGCAGCCTAATGAACATAACAAATGGCTTAACAAAAAGAAAGTATTATGGCCACTTTTTCCATAGCAATGAATTTAAATGAGAACAATGAATACGCGCACATGAATTAAACAATGATGTCCTCACTTTATAAATTAAGTTGCTAGCTTGATGACACACTCTTGTTACTTTCAGCTTGGCAAATTCTTTGCCTCCCAACCAGGTGAGGTACTGAATGATTTATTAGTTTTCGTAGCAGAAGCATAGGAGAACCACCTTGGCTTCTACATCAGACACAGAGCTATCAACCTGTATGCTTGTATCCAATTAGCCGGTGAAAACTCATTAGTTACATTATATATATATGTAATAACCCAATGAGAGGATAACATTGAACTGTATGTCACTTCCAATTTTCCACCTTCAGTGGCAGCCCATATCTACAACAGAAGAAAAACCAATAGGGGATACTGACATATTCATAATTGGTAAGCTAATGGGAGTACGCCAAAAAAACTTCTAGCGAATTAAACTAATGTTCACAGTAATGTTTAAGAACCCGATATAAGGAACTAATCTCTGAAAATGAGAGAAATGACAACTCAAGTACGTTCTGGAAGCTTTTGGACACACTACAAATGATTTAGGCTCCAAACCTATTAAAAACTTATGGATGCGTAGACAACTATTAGCTCAAACTTAAAATATAAACATAGATTTTAATTCATATATGATAGGCACAACTTACATTAATAAAATTTCCATGGAACCGAGATAGTGTGATTGGTCCAACATATAAAGAAACAGCTCCAAAGGTAAGACTCCTGACACAGCCGGATGAGAACAGTACTATTGTATCTCTAAGCCAAAGCAAACCAATCCTGCACATAGAGAGTGTGATATATGTTCGCCGATGACCAAGGAGTATCAATGTCAAAAATCATATCTGAGATGAACCACCGAACATATCTAATTCATCATTGAGGAGCTATCATTGTTTCCATTGAAACAACTGCAGCGGTAGCGGACACAATTTAGGAAGTATCCATAGCTGGAATCAAAGCCTGATGAAGTTTTTACTTAGGGATCTCCACTTTTAAGTGTTTCACATTTTGATCTCTACGTTGGCTATATAAGCTTCCTGAAAACAAAAGCAAAATAACGACAACATCAATCATAAAATATTCCAAATAAAGCCATCAGCATGACTATCCCAACTCTCATAATAAAATAAAAGCATGTCAGTTTTCGTGACTGTTCCCTTTCTTCGATTCTTTTCACAATTTAGTACCGTGACATATCCAAAGGAAGCGGAGGACCACTTGTGCAGCATTCTTTTGTCTGCTTTAAGTGCGTGATTTGATTCTCCGATGCTATTTCCTTCGTTTTTCAAAAGGATTTCTTGTCAAAGCCAAAACGATCCGAGAAATTAAATAGTCAGAAAATGGTTTAAAACAAAAAGAAGTAAATAGTAGGTCGAAAGGAAAAAAAAATTCTTGTTAAAAAGGAAGACCAAAAGAGGGATTGTTCAGCCCACAAATGATTTGCTCATAGTTTGGCTCATGTAATCATCCATACTCCACTGTAAAACTTGTCTAAAGAAGCATCTCAATCTAGCTTGTCATTCTATCCTGCACATTCAGAAACAATAATTAGATATCTTATACAATAAAGTAGGCTTCTCTCCCTTCTTAGAGAGCCACATCAGCATTTGTGAGGGGGAAAAAAAAGACATGTCAGCAATCACCCAATTAAATTATACCGACCAAATTTTATCAATGCGTTTCGGTTTAAATTGGTTTTCTTTCTACGGTTTTGTGGTTCATGATGGGCTTTGTTTTTGGTTCGTACATGGCCATTTCTTAAAGGTTTTCAGGGGCTTTGTTTTTGGTGTCGTAAAGGCCCATTTTTTTACGTTTTCTTTGTCTGTTCTCTTCGATGGCGAGGAGTCTCCTCGTCCGTATCGACGCCGAACCAGAGAATGAGAATACGTAACCGCTGCCATCTCAATCTAGCTTGTCATTCTATCCTGCACATTCAGAAACAATAATTAGATATATAGTAAAAAATAAAGTAAAACAAAGCAAAAAACCTGAAGCTAAAAGAGGAATTTGTAGAACTGTGGTCAAGGCTCCAAAGATGAGAGTAAAGGAGACATTAATGGGAGAAGGC